TTTGGTGTGTCTAAGGGAGGGAAGTGTGGGTTGGACTCCACTGGCCTTCCAATAGACCTTTAAAGCTGCCCACCTCCAGTGGAAATCCCTGGGGGAGAGTGGCAAGGCAGATACCACTCTTCTCTGGGAGTGTACCATCCTGGGCTACAGCTGTCCCTGCTGACACAAGGGGGTTCAATTTCCAACCCTACATGCCAGTGCCTATGCATGGAACCCACTATCTCCAATTTACTGTGCAATTAGCTGTGAAATTAATCATTAACAATGTGGTGATGGTCAGTTACAAGATTATATAGTAATGCATCCCTGCACTGTAATACAGTGTAGAGTTACGGTGGAACTGTCCACAGCGTTATTATTGGCCATATCACCTCCTACATAAGTTGTTCCAGCACTGGGGACTGTTCATCATTGTAGGAGCTGGATTTTATAATGTACTATGAGAATTAATGTATGATTTGATTTCATCCTGCTAGCCACCCTTTTTTAATAGCAGAAAGAAATGACCCTCTGGGACTATGAGATTCTGTTTTCCCAAATGCATTACAAATTGGGCCCTCTTTAACTCTTTGTTTTAAGATTTAGTTAGTAAGAGACAGGATTCTCTATTGTGTCTATGTTAAGTAAATTAGAGGAACATTGAAGGCCTGGGTCTCAATGTAAATTGTCTTGGTTATTGATTGTAAAACTTAGCAAGCTTTAATTTGCAATGCCTTTTTGCTTGATATAAAATACCTACTGTTTGTATTCTCAATCTGTTTGTGTGAATGAGGAATGCATGCATCCGGAAAAGATAAGGTATGAAAGCCATAACAAATGTCCAGATGGTCAAGGAGAAGTGAGAGACTTGGAAAGACCAGGAGACAATCAGAAAACATCCATTGTATCCGATGTTAAACACGTTAGCAGCATTGACGACCTCAGAGGTGAGGCAGGCACCCCCTGAAGGCGAGACAACAAATAGGAGATAATGATGGGAAGCCAGACAATAACCATCAAATGATAACACTACTTAAGGACTAATGATTACAGGATGACATTGCAAAATGCATGGACTCAAATGGGAATTTACAACTATAAAGCTGGGGTGTTTTGCCATGGAACTCTGGGTTCAGTCCTGCAAGGCCTCGGAGCATCGGATCGCGACCGACAGAACCCAACTCCACACTCGTGCTCAATCTAACTGGCCATTAGATTGACTCGAGCTACACAGGGCCGGCTCCAGCATTTCTGCCGCCCCAAGCAAAAAAAAAGTCGCAATCGCAACCGGCGGCGGCAATTGGGGGAAGTGGGGGGGAAAGCCGCTATCGGCGGCGGCAGTTCGGCGGCAGGTCCTTCGCTCCTAGAGGGAGTGAGGGGCCTGCCGCCCCCGAATTGCCGTAGGTGCCGCCCCTCTCCCTTGGCCGCCCCAAGCACCTGCTTGTTAAGCTGGTGCCTGGAGCCGGCCCTGGAGCTACAACAGACTGGTAACTATAAAAATCACTGCAGGACTTGTGTGTGGCATATGCTAACTTGTATTTTCAATAAATGCTACATATTTACCTTCCTCTATAAAGATCCCGTGTGCTTTGTATGAGCATAACATCATGAGTGCTTGGATTCATGCAGGTGACTTTTTTGCGTTACTCCCCCAGGAGGGCTAGGTTTAACACCATTCTCCCCAGGGACCAGGAGGCTTTGGCCCCCTTAATCTATGGTTGAGACCTGAAGACCTATTGTCAGCGCCCTGTGTCTCCAAACTGTTTTCAGGCTTCCCCTGCTTTCTGGGTAGCAGGGCTCTAACAAAGCCTTGTTGACAAGGGCTCATCCCACCCACCACCCCCAGAATCACCCTGCTTTGTGATTTCAGAATGCAGAGGGAGAAAGATGAGTATGTCAGTGCTAATAGTGTCTGCATTTTATTATTTGCTAAATTCCCAAAAGGTTGTTGTGGGGATGATTCTCTGGACAGTGTCCATCCCATCCAGTCCCAATCCCTCCTAGCTCGCCCAGTCCTGCATCCTCCAAAATGTGGAACCCAAATCGCACCCAGGGGGAGGTTTTGTAGGTTCATGGAAAGATGGTGGAAGAACAATGCTGTGGAGGTAGTACTTTTCCCTTCTGTGACCCCCTCAAGCACATATCTGCCAGGTCTTAATCTTCCTCTAGAAAGATGGAGGGAATTTCAAAAAGGATGGCTAATGCTTTTGTTTACTTGATATAAACAACCATATAATTGTCCTGACCTGGAATAGTCTGCATTAGCACAAAGAGATTACTTTTATACCTTGTAGATTATGCAGAAATTAACACTGAACTATTTTAATATAGTGGGAATATCTAATATATGTTTAATAATTATATTTGAAGAATTACTGCTTCTATGAACTAGGGAATGAGTTGGGTTTTGTTTTTGTTTTTTTTTAATGAGTCTTCGGGTACGTCCAGACTACCCGCCATATCGGTGGGTAGCGATTGATTTATCGGGGATCGATATACCATGTCTGGTTAAGACGCGATATATCGTGTCTGGTTAAGACGCGATATATCGTGTCTCGTTAAGACGCGATATATCGTGTCTCGTTAAGACGCGATATATCGTGTCTCGTTAAGACGCGATATATCGTGTCTCGTTAAGACGCGATATATCGATCCCTGAACACGTTCCCCGTTGACTCCGGAACTCCACCGGAGCGAGTGGCGGTAGCGGAGTCAACGGGGGAGCTGCGGCTGTCGATCCCGCGCCGTGAGGACCCAAGGTAAATCAATCTAAGATACTTCGACTTCAGCTACGCTATTCATGTAGCTGAAGTTGCATATCTTAGATCGATTCCCCCCTCCCCCTCAGTGTAGACCAGCCCTTCAGCACTGCTATTGACAGGCAAGGAAGATGCTGAACTGCATTTCTTAGAAAGTTGGGAACTAGGAGCTGAATCACCTCTCATTTATACAAGTTTTACACTAGTAGCCTCATTGGAAAGTTACTCCTGATTTGCACTAGTGTAAGTGAGAGGCGACTCAGGCCTCTATTCTGTTGTGCTATGAGTAACATATCTCAAATGTCCTGATTTTGAAAATTTCTGCCGTATAGAGGTACGTGTCCCTAAATTCCACTGCGAGTAGCCACGTTCTATTTGACAATAATCTCCAAATTTCACTGTAGTGATCTGCAACGCAAGTTGGAAGGACAATCAGTGAAGTTGTCTGACATCACACACACAAGTGACGACAGACATCTGCACTATCCAAATAGATTTCCATTTTTGGATATGAATTTTAGGGCACAGCTGTGGAGGACATCTGGAGCACAACAACAGGACAAAAGTCAGGTGGAGCTCAAGCTTTTCTATGCCAACGTCATATCTGATATTTTAGAATTTAAAAATGCCATACATTATTCCTGATATGCTTGCTTAGTGAGGAAAATGGACAGATACCGTGTGGCACGGATGGTGCAGCATCCTAGTTCAAGGGCTGTTTGTGTGAAGTTTCTTGGTCCAGTCACTATGATCAGTTTTTTGCCTTCAAAATGAGGGACATGCATTGTTTTGTTTAACCACTGAAAGAGAAATAATGCAAAGGATCTAAGAGAATAGTAACATGGGCAGAAAATAACACAAGACTGATCTTAGAAAAATTCCATCCAATATATGTGGATGGAGTAGGAGAATAACTTGAAGTCCTGAAGGGACAGGTAGCAAATTAATCATGAGTTTACAAAGCAATATTGCCACACAAAAAAAAAGGCCCAGTGCACTGCTGAGCTGCATACGCACAGGCATCATTTCACTGGGTAGGGAGATAAGAATCCCTTTCTATTCAGCTCTGGTGTGACTGAACTGAGAATACTGTGTTTTGCCTGTGCACTTAATTGCTAAAACAATATTGACAGCTGGAGGGCGTTTAGATAAAAGCAACAAAAATGGTTAAGGGACTTCTGAGGAAAGATGTATAGCTTTGCTAGTTGACAACTAAGGGGAACATGGTAACAGTCTACAAACACGTGAAGGATGTAAACACCAAAGAAGATGAGGAATTATTTAGCCCAGCTAAAGAATTTTGTAACTAAGAGAAACGAGATGGAATTAAGAATGGGAATATTAAAATGGATAGCAGGAAAAATGTCTTTATAGTATTAAATTATAGAATACTTTCCTAAGGACTGTGTTGGAAGCCCAAAGCTTGACATGTTTAAAACCAATGTACAATAGGGAATTATCCTGCACTGGCAGGAACGTTCAGTAAATATCCAAACAATTATTTGTCTAGCTCCACACTAATGGAAACTAAGAAACAATGCACCAGAGTCATTCCTGGTGAACCCAGATGAATTATACTATGGCTTTGGACCAATTTGAGTTCTGGGAAATAATGTAAAATAAATGCAATTACCTATTTCTGTATCAAATACTTAATTGAGTTTGTAGAACTTTCTAGTAACAAGTAACATATTATTATCCACAGTCAGAACGACACAAGACTCACTCAGTTCTTTAATTTGCAGGCTTTCCAATGAACCTTTTGCTTTCCACTGCCCCTGCCTTTACTCCCCTTGAGTTTGAAATTCAATATTTAGGGACAATTCACCTCTGGGCTGAGGGCCAGCACCAAGACTACACACCATTTAAGGCCCTCACAATAAGTCTTAAATGGGACTTTAGTGGTGCAGACCTTGTGCTTGGCCTCTGCATGGGGATTAATGACACCCTAGCCAATGCTTGTGATTTTATTGCCAGTCTCCTGATTATCTGTGGGAGGGTTTTAAGCCCCAGCTCCTGGAGTCACATGGTTATGTGAGACTCTCAGCTTTCATTAAAAAAAAAAAAGATTGTCTAGCTCCTGTGACAGCAGAGAAAAGCTAGAAAATATAGCCCCTACAGGCTCCAGTACCAGGAAGCAACCAAAAAGAACCCAACATTTACTCTTTTTAAAAATCTCATGTTTAGGGAGGGTGTGATATTAATGGACGCAAAAAGACCTTTTTTCTTTCTTTCTTTTTTTTTTTTCTTTTCTTTTTTCAGATGGACAGTCTAGCCTACTGGAAAACAGGACTGGCTGCCATTTCAGTGGTGGCAGAGAGCTTTAGAAAATGGGACTATGTCATTTGGAACAGAACAAAGTGTCATGACAGCTCTGTCAGGGGACTGGTCAAGTACCAGAGTAACTAAAGGAGGCCACAGAAATCCAGACATCATAATGATTACAGTATGGTTTTAAGTGAAGAAATACTAATGTTATTATCTCTCAACATTCATATACTTTGTTTTCCAAACTCAGAAAGCCTGTTAGCCCATATATAACTTCCCTAGCTGAAAGTGCACCAATGAGAATGGAGAGTGGGTATGCTTTTGCTGGTTTCCTGTTTTGTTTTTGCAAAACAAACAAGAATGGAAATGCACACACCAGTGACCTGCCTAACTTGTCTACATCTCCATGGATTATGTTTTTATTTTTTTTTACACATGAACTCTGTGCTCTGTTTTTGTGACTATTTGTACCTGCCTTGCTGGAAACAGTGTTCTGAAACAATGCATATTACAGGGTTAAAGGGTTATGTTCCTTCTTCACTGAAGATGACAAACGATGAAGAAAACTGAATTACATTTTACTCCTAACTGCATACAGAAGGATCTACTTAATGGCACCTTAATAAATGATGCTCCCACTCAACTGAAGTGATTCAGTACAATGCATTTCAAACACTGGATAAACTGGAAGCCTTGTATGACCTCTGAGCCCATTCACAGTATTAAGCAAATGTGAATAGGTTTGCTAAATGAATTTCCTTCTGCCCAGCTCTTTAAACTGTACAGTAAATGTTTCTCCCCTGCTCTATTGTGGCTGCTAAATCAGCTAATATTTATCTCAGTATATATTTCAAGAGTTTGATGATTTGTCCCATGCTTATTTTTTAAAGCAATTCAAGGAATATCTACCAGTACAATGTGTGTTCCTGAGCTTTCTGCTTCCACTTGTGAGGCCACAACTGTACAATAAATAAATGTGAATGTAAAGAGAGAAATTGGTCCCCTGCCTTTGATATCATTTTCAGTATAACAGCTGGAAGATACTGAATACCAAATATAAGGGCTATTCAAAAGATCCTCAGAATTGGGGTACACAGATGACTAATAATTTGGGAGGACAAACCATTTAAGTGATATATGGGCTGATGTTGCAACGCAGCTGAATCTTGTTGTAAAGTGCATGGCAGATGTAAACTGAGGCCCTTAAAAAGATATAGACCATTGGGAGGGGCATTGGACACAGCTTTGTAGCTGTTTCTCTCTTCCCCCAATATTGAGACCTCAAGAAGTTGTTCCAATAAAACCCCCAGCAGGGCTAATGCTAGCATAGCTAACTGTTTGTGTATGCTTTATTAGAATTAACGCTGCACTAAAGAAGATGCTAATAGGCAATCCTCTGTCTTAAGCATCTCCATGCAGTTTCTAATAGAGTTTTATTCACTCTGTGGTTACTAAAGATCACCTCTTATTAGCAGACCAAGTTTTGCTGGTGCCTTGAGTGGCTGGCTGCTTAGGCAGATTTTACTATTTTTGTTGCTAGAATACATAGCTAGAATGTAGGGCTTTTTGTTCCCCTGATTTCCTTTTCATTTTGATTAATTAATTAATATACTCAAACCAGCCTTTTATACACAATGGTAGAATATCATGTAACTTCAACCATGTGATGAAACCCAACCTTCCCATCTCAGAACTTGAAAATGCATCATAAAAAGCAGCGCCAAAATCTTTGCTGACATCCAGATTATGAAGCATATGCAAAAGCTTTGTATTTTGCCCTTCATAAACAGGTAAACTTAATGATCAATTTAGCGATGACTATTTCACACAGCTCTATTTATAATATTTTAAATTGTAAGCTCTCCAGAGCAGGGGTTGTTTCTCCATGTGTTTGCACAGCAACTAGCACAATGGAACCCACAACTAGGGCCTTCCAGTGCTACTGCAACGTAAATAAAATAACAGTAAATAATGCTGTGTGCTTAATAGCTGCTGGTCGTGTTCCTACACAGTCAATATGGTACAAGCGTCTTACTTATTATGGCAAAAGTACTCTGTGGTACCTTCAGTTTTGTGAAAGTCTCTCTCTATAAACCAAATTTTATATTAGTCTTAGCCTGTGAGTTCTTTGGAGCAGGGACTGTCTCTTTATGTGCTTGTACTGTGTCTAGAAAAATGGGGCCTGAATCTGAGTAGGGTCTCTGGGTGTTACTGTAATATACATAAAATAATGATATTGCTTTCCGAGTATGAAAAGGATAACTGAACCACATGGGTTGCAGATGTATGCTTGCCATTCCATTACTTATCCTTAAAGGGGAGTGTTTTGTTTTTGCAAAGCTGCACTGCAGGTATAGTTGAGAAGGGCCTGATCCAAAGCCCACTGAAATCAGTAGGATCCTTTCCATTCAATTCTGTGGCCTTTGTACCGGGCTCTAAATGAAATAAGAGTGATTTCTTTTCTTATTATTAGTAATTGGCCGGTAGACCAAGTGTTATAAACCACATCTCTATGAAATGTTCATTCTGTCTGGTTAAAATAAAGATACTGGAATTTTCAAACACTGCCTCTGTAAAGTCTGCTTAAATGATTAACTGAATTGTCTGATATGTATTGCCTTAATTTAAATATATATAAACTTTGGACACTTCAATGTAGAATCAGAAGATTATGGATATTTAGCAGGAGAAATATATTCTCTGTATAATATCTGCGGTATATTATTATGCAAACAAAGAATAGGCTTGACTGAGAGATGTTTCCATTCACAGGGCCTCATTCACCATTGCTCTACATTATTGTTACACTCGTGTAACTCCAATGAAATCAATGGAATTACACCAGACTAAAAAATGGAATGAAGCAATGATTCACCATTTTGTCCTTAGTCCTAGTTCAGTCCTCTATCTACTCAACTATACTGCTGTCTAAACCATGCTGAATCGAGGCAAGTATGATCAAGCCATCTAGACTTCTTTGGTGTTTGAGGACTAGTATTCTTAGGACTCTGCAGCATGTTCTCTTTGGCATGTCCTAACCTTAATCATTCCCAGAACATGCTCTAGTCCATATACATATGCACTTTGGTAACAATCTTTTTTTACTTAGATATTTTGCAGATATAACCGTTTAAACCTTTAAGGCCTGCAAGGAGTGCCTCAGAATGCAGACCTAACAAGGATGCATGATTTTCTTTTTTACCATTTGACCTCAGTTCTGTTGTCCAAAGAATATAGGTAGCAATTGTTTGTTTCTCTCCTGTTGCCATGTGAAAGACCCACACAAACAAGGGAAACTGACTGTACTGGGGAAACAGACAATTTTGACAGCCGATTGTGTGTGTGTGTGTGAGTGAGAGAGAGAGAGAGAGAGAGAGAGAGAGATGTGGACACCTGACTCCTAAGAGATGCACAGACGCCCAGACAAACTCATTTCACAGAGGCCTATTTAATAGTCATACAAATAGGAAAAGTCTTGTACTCTAGTTT